CCCCCCCCATGTTGTTCTTGTTTGTTTGTTTATTCTTTTGTTTTTTGAAATAGTGTCTCATTCTGTAATGTAGCCTGGCCATGAACTATGTAGCCCAGGCGGGCTTTGAACTGGCAATGACCCGCCTGCCTCAGCCTCCCAAGTGCTGGGATTACAGCCATGTGCAACCACACCTGGCCTATTTCTTCTTGTTTAAACTTAATTCTTATGGAAGCTATACCTACTAAATGGGCAAATACTGTAAGACCATGAGACTCAGTAGTAGAAAAGAATAGTCATTATGCCAACTCTTCTCATCCAGTTCTCCTTCCCCAGAGGGGATAGTTTTCAACTTTTTTTGGCTGATCTTTTGAGGTCAACTGGTAGACTATATACATATACATATACATATACATATGCATATATATTTATTTTTTTAATTTTTAATTTTAATTTTTTTTTGCTACTTAATTTTTCAGTTCCAGTATTATGGGAAGTGTAGATCTGTCTTCCATATGTACACACCTTCTCCCACCCCTACCCTCACCCACCCAGCATGAACTTTTCCCTTCATCCAGTGTTCATTCAGGACTATGAAAAATGCTATTCATGTAATACTTTAGGATTACTTTTCCTTTCTTACATGATTTATTTTATTGTCCCTGGAGTTCATAGTTGCCTTTTTTCACTTGCTTAATACATAATTAATTTGTCCCTAATTCGGCCTCACATTCTCGACTAATCGACAGGTCACCTGCCTCCTATCTCTTGACCCTAGTGCTGTGACCTCCCATGGTCTGCCCAGGGATGTGGGTCTACTCCTGTTCATTGTAACATTTAGTGAGGGTTTTTTTTTTGTTGTTGTTTTGGGGGAATTCTAGACCTTTGATTCTGAAATGTTCTTTGTTTATTTCCTTGCTTCCATTTTAAATTTTCTCTTTCTAGATTTTTTTTTTTGTTTGTTTGTTTTTTGTTTTTTGTTTTTTGTTTCTGGGCACCAATGATAAAACCCAGGGCCTTTTTTTTTTCCAGAACTGGGGATTGAACTCAGACCCTTGCGCTTGCCAGGGAAGTGCTTATTCTACTGAGCCATCTCCCAGGCCCCAAAACCCAGGCCTTTCTGCGTGCTGGCCAAATGCTCTATCACTGAGTAACACTCCTAACTCTCTTTCTAGAATTTGTTTTATTCATGTGGTTACCTTCTGGTCTTGTCCTCTATATTTTGTTTCTTTGTTTGACTTTATGTTACAAACTTTGTTTAAAGAAGTTTGGACAAATTCTTCCAAACTTTCATTTCTATTATCAAATTTATAATTTCTTAGAGGATCCCTCCCTCCGGTTGTCCTGTTTAATGACACATTGTTCCTGTATCTTGGATGCAATATAAATTATAGTTCTATGGTTTATTTTCTTTCCCCTACTTAGGCTTGCTTGCCTTCATTTTTTTATTTTTGTAGTTTTGTTTTGGTTTATATTTAGTTTTTGTAGTACTTGGAATTGAACCTAAGACCTTGGGCATAGAAACACAACAGTCAGGGCTGGGGCTCTAACTCAGTGGCAGAAGAATGTTCAAGGCTCTGGGTTCAATCTAGCACCACAAGAACAAACAACAACAGAAAGCTTCTATGTTAGCACTGTGGAGAAGAAAGCTATCAACAACGTCTAGTTCCAGGGCGGGGGAGATGGCTCAGTGGAATAAGCGCTTCCCTGGTAAGCACAAGGGCGAACTCCCTGGTTCCACCAAAAAAAAAAAAAAAAAAAAAAAAGGTCTTCCTGGCTCAAGAAGCTCATGGATATGTATGAGAAACAAATCATGAAACCAAAATACAAGGCAGAATATGACACAAGTGCTGCAAAGGAGGAAGAAATGCTGTGGCTACTGTAGGAAGCAAGAAGAGATTCATTCTGACTGCTGGACATGAAGGAAGTAGAAATTTGAATAGGAGCTTGAAAACTGTACAAAATTTCACAAGTAGGGGTGGCTGCAGTTTTAAGACTCTGTGTCTCTTCCCTGCAGGGTGATTCTGGGGGCCCCCTCAACTGCTTGGTGAATGGTCAGTATGCTGTCCATGGAGTGACCAGCTTTGTGTCCAGCCTGGGTTGCAATGTTGCCAAGAAGCCCACAGTCTTCACTCGTGTCTCTGCTTATATTTCTTGGATAAATAATGTAAGTCCTCTCAAATGATGGGTTAAAACAGTCACATGGAGGCTCAAGTACTGCATGGGTTAGGAACAAAAGATGCACTGGGGAGGTCATCATCCTTACTGCGTTCACACCTCCATCTCTTCCCTTTGCCATTTCATAGTGCATCTTAAGTTCTCCTTCATGTAACTACTGAGCAGACTTCAGCATACTGGCTTGGTTTTTTTTTTTTTGTTTTGTTTTGTTTTGTTTTTTGCGGAACTGGTGATTGAACTCAGGCCCTTGTGCTTGCCAGGCAAGTGCTTATTCTTTTTTTTTTTT